CCAGAAGCTGGCCGAGCGCAAGCGGCCGCTGGCCCAAGACGACGTGCATCTCCTCCGAAACCTCCTCCAACTCCTCCCCCAACACCCACCACCAACTCCACCTCAATCATCATATATGCACAGTCGGAGGACCAGCCACGGGCGCGAAGCTGCTATGAGCTAGAGGCGCCCAGCCCATGCCACAAGGCGACAGCTCCCACGCTTGGAGAGAGGTCGGAGTGGCGGGCCAATCTCGCTGACCTTCTCAACAAGATCAGCCACGGTCACCGTCAAGCGGTCATCTTCGGCGTGTTCGCCCACTGCATCGGGAAAAAGCCTTCCACGTACTCACCCACGCATCGGGCGAGAGGTGGCTAAGAACTTGCCGAATACAGATAGCTCCAAACATCCGCCGCCTCCACCTCACCCTCCTCTCCTCCATGTCGCTGCACAGTGGCTGGAAGCGGCCGCAAAGCGTGACAACCAAAAACTGGCAGACGTAGGCACCCAAGACCTGTCGGGGGAGTGACCCGCTTCGCGGTCACACGGCCCCTGTCTCCAGCAATCGCAACGAGGCACCCCGAACGTGTGCATTAAAAATGAACGAACGTCGTCGTAACCCTCCTCCTCCTCCACCTCACCGCCTCCACCTCCTCCATGTCGACGCTCAGTGGCTAGAAGCGGTCGAAAACGTGGCAGCCGAGCTTCACGGCGCACGTCGGAAAACGCAGCTCGTGTCGTAACGCTCCTCCTCCTCCTCCTCCTCCTCCTCCTCCTCCTCCTCCTCCTCCTCCTCCTCCTCCTCCTCCTCCTCCTCTCCTCCTCCTCCTCCTCCTCCTCCTCCTCCTCTCTTCTCAATCAATTCCAATTGCTAAACTAGAGAAGTGTGAAGTCAGCAGGGCGGCGCACACTCAGCACGAAGCGGCCATCGCCGCTGCGAACTCCTGGTCGAAGCCGTTCTCGTCGGAGCAGGCACCGTCCATGTGTGCCTTCACATCCAGACCTCGTTCTTGCAAAACGGATAGCGTCATGTCGCACACGTAGCCAATGGCACCAACGTCCGAGTACCCGAATCTGAAGGCCGCCTCGAAGAATTGGGCTGTCACTTCTGACTTGTCAAAGCCACGTTTCCGCAGGGGCCGAACGGGCGACGGTCGGGGCGCAGCCTCAGCACTGTCGAGGCGTAGGCGGAGGCGAACGAATTGGCCCGAACGGGCGCCAACACGCCGGTCTCGAAGGCGTAGCCAAGCCCCAGGAAGGACCACATCGGAGCACGCGATCTCCACGTCTGCCGAGCAAGGTGTGCACGGCTGCGTCAGGTCCACGGTCTCCTCCATCACGACCCCCTGGCTCTGCATGCCTTCCGACTCGAACTCCTCCTTGCCCTCCGTACCCTCAAACTTCTCCTCCTCTGCGCTATCCAATACATTGAATACAGCCTCGCCGTACTTCTGCTCCCCTGTCGCTACCACATTGGTGCCGTCGAAATTCTTGCATACGCCTCTAGCAGCACCAGCAGGCATTCCAGCATCACGATCACCTTCGGCAACATGATCGGGTCCAGCAGCGCGGTCGCCTCCCGCACGAACGGAACCAACATCCGCTTCACTAACATGAACGCCACCATCGTACACTGGTGGCCCATCGGGCTGGACCTCCACACCCTGCGCCACGAACTGTTCCACAGCCCGCTCTTGGCACCCAGACTGCCCGTGCACCACGTTGACGACTGCCACCTGATAGCCTTAGGGCCCAACCACCCCGTCGACCTCAAGCTGAATGCCATTGGTGTCGAACTCGCAGCCCAGCGGACGCAGGCCAGGTGGTGGTAATGGAGGCTGCCAGCAGCACTGCAGCAGGCCGATCCTCTCAAACTGCGCGTTGCGGATCGCCGCCCGCTGTGTTCGAAGACGACGACGCATGGATATCGTCATTGCCTCTGTCACCATGTTGTTGGCGTCCAAGGCAGGCTCCAAACGATGTCGACGCTGAAGGTGTCGACGCTGAGGTAGATGCTGGCGAGAGCACCTGGCGGCAGCACCTGGCGGCGGCGGCGGCGGCGAGCGGGCGCTGGCCCCGCCCCGCGGGCCGCCTGGCCGCGCTGAGCCGCACCCTCCCTGCCGGAGGCCCCATAGCACGGGCGGCGCGCGCGCCGCGGACGGGCCCCCCCGCCTAGGAGAGGCGCGGCTTCCTCCCTCCCTCCTCCTCCTCCTCCTCCCGGAGCCCTCCTGATCGTGCCCGCCAAGCTGCCGCAGCTCGGCGGTCGGGCGACGTAGCTCGAAGAGAAAGGCGCGGGGCGAGGTCCGTTGCCAGCACCATCCTCGCGCGAACGCCTCCGTCTTCCCAGGACGGTGCTTGCACTTACGGGGGTACTACGGCGGGCACTGCACTGGACTTGGACGTACGGTGCACTAAGGGGGACGGCGGGCACTTAAGTGGACGCCTCCGTCTTCCCAGGACGGTGCTTGCACTTAGGGGTTACTGCGTCTTCCTAATGGAGGATGACGATTAATAAATGACCGGGGGTCGTGTTCACGCGGCGGCGCCCGGGATGACGATTAGAAAAACTGGCCGCGGGCTGGAGAACTATGTTTTTCATTGTTCTCCTCCAGGCAGAAAGTTGTGCAGGAATAGTAGAAAACAATTGTTGTGAATCGTTCTCTCCCGTTTTATTAATCGTCATCCCGCATTAAGGACCTGGACTGGTGAGGCGGTCTGGCGGCTATGTTGTCGCCGTCGCCGCCCCGTCTCCGCCTCGTCGCCGCCCGCTGTCTGGGCCAGCTTAGGGGTCTGGCGGCTATGGTGTCGCCGTCGCCTCCCCGACATAGATTGCACAACAGATTGCACAGCATATATTCTTGCTCTAAAAGAATATTGCGATCCACCTCCCCCTGGGACGTCACGCGTCACACTTTCGCATCGTAGATTCAATGCGATTCTGCCCCATCGTCCATCCTGATAGTGAACCCATACCATCCCAGACAGGCCCTTTGATCGCTCTCCCCCTGTCATCCCCTGCAAAAAATGAAAATGCTCGCACACTCGTTTATCAAAACTCAGCCCTTTCCAACAATGCCTTGCAAAATAAACAAATGGACGAAGTGCGCACCGCGCGTCGTCGCGCGCGCATTCCAAAATCCTTCAACAACATTAGGCTTCGTAACGGCTTCACAATCGAGTGTCCCGGAAGCATTTATTTATATATATATATATATATATATATATATATATATATATCCCGGGGGACGAGGACCTTGGGCGCGGGACCGCGACCTCGACGGCGCATGGGGCGCACAAGCCTCGAAATGTAGCTTGAAGACGCCGACGATGGCTCCAAGAGGGCTCCCAGGAGCCCCCGAGACAGCTCAAGAGGGCCCCAAGAGCCCTCCGAAGAGGGCCCCAAGAGGCAAAAATGGCCACGCTCCCTCCGGAAAACGTAGATTTTTCATGGATTCGCCTCTTGACCTTCCAAGGGTACGAAGACGGCCCGAGATGCCGCCAGGGTCGCCCCAAGACAGCCCAAGGTTCCAAGACAGCCCGAAAGGGCCCCTGGCTAGCCCGAGAGGTCCCCAAGACGGCCTAAGAGGGACCCAGGACGGCCCCAAGCAGGGGCCCAGAGAGGATGCCCTACGAACATCTCAAGCCCTCCGCCCCCAGAGGTCCCAAGGAGGCCCCAAGAGCCCCCCAAAATGCCCCCAAGAAGCTCCCCAAAAACCTTCAAGAAACTCCCTAGGGCCCCCCCAACAGCCCCCTGACCAGACGCCCTCAGGTACTTTTCCTGCTCCCGAAGCTTCCGGACCACTCTTCGCTTCCTGAGGCCCGAAACGGGGCCCGGGACCGTCAAACATTTACGACGAAACACCGGACCCGTTGAAGGTCTTCGGACTTCGGGCCCACCCCAGGCCCCGCGTAAAACAAGTCACGCTAGCGAATCTCTTGGACTGGATGACATACCAGTCCCGTGGAATGCGCCAGACTTCCAGGACCCGACGTGTAGCGACCCGCGGTGGTGATGATAGTGGTCGTTGATTCGCGGCAGTGGCAGTGGCAGTGGCAATGGTAGTGGTATTGGTGGTGGTACAGGCAGAGGTTGAACCAATGGCCGTTATAGAGGTAGCGGAAAGTGCAATCGTCGTGGATGGGGTGGTCATGCCCAGAATGGGCATGGAATCGGAAGTAGTCGTGACCGCGGTGATGGCGGAAAGGGCGGTGGTAGCCGTGGCGGCATTGGCGGCGTTGAGCGTGGTCGCGGGAGTTACTAGAACCTAAGCGCGTGAAGCGCGCGCGTGGTTCTAGTGTGTATATATATATACATACATACATACATACATACATACATACATACATCTATATAAACGCATGGTGTCGCAGCAAGAATGTTCAACACAACTTTCCCTCTCGCCCATGCGAATCCTAGGAAAACCATTGGTCCTTCAATATTTTTCATTGTCATCCTACTAAATGTGCCCGTCGTGCGCGCGTGTCGAATTTGCTCGCACGCCCTTGCGCGGGTGCTGTCGCAAGTGCTGTCGCAAGAACCCCTTGCAACACATGGGACGAAGTGCACGCGCGCGTCGTCGCGCGCGCATGCCGAAATCCTTCAAACACCTTCCGTTTCGTAAGGACATCGGATCTTCCGAAACATATAAAGACACACGGTTTTGCAACAACAGTTTTCAACACACAAAAAGGGCCTCGCGTTGTTGCGAGCTCTTCAGAAACAACTGCGGAATTTTCAATATTCTCATTACACTCAGGCAAACGGACCTCCCGCGACGCATGTCGAAATCATTGGGACACCCTTGCGCGCATGCTGGGGGCGGGGCACGGCCCGTGTCAAGTAATACCATGCGGGCCAGTTTCGCGCGCCGGCCGCGCGCGCATGTCGAACTCTTTATAGAATTTCCATCACCGACGCGAGGACGCCGTCATCGTCGACGGCGTGATCAGCATCGGCGCCGTCACTGGCCTTGCCGCCGTGGTTGTCATCATCGTCACCAGAATCGCTGCTATCATCATCGTGTCTACCATTACCGGCGTTGCCATCATGCCGCGCCCGCCGAAGCCGCCGACTCGCATTGAAGTGCCCGCTGGAAACTGCCCACCGGTCAGCGCCACCGCGGCCGCGATGGTCGCGCCAAACTAGCTGGCCGCTACGCGCGCTAGCATGCGCGGGCTAGCGCGGCCGCAGAGATGCACGAACCAACACCAAGCACTCATCGCAATCGCCGCCGCAAACCCAGATGCGGGTGGGTGGGATGGTTGTTCGAGCATCGGAGTTGACAATTCATTGCGAACATCAATCAATTGCACCACATGAACTGCGCCACCTATATGGCACCATCGATCCTGCACCATATTGATTGCAGCACATAGGTTGCACCCAGGTGGCACCACGTAGGTTACACGAAGCACATCGCTCCACACAGATCACGCAACATAAATTTGCCCGCGTAGATTGCACCACATTTGTCGCACATAGTGGATTGCATAACACATGTTGCGAAACATAGATGGCACCAAACATTTTTCACAGGACTTGTTGCTCCACATATGTTGTACTACACATGTCGCACCACGTAGTTTGCTTCACCTAGATCGCACTATACATATTGCACAGCATCGACAGCACCACATAGGGAGCACCACATATATTGCACCACATAGTGTTCCACATAGGTTGCACCATTAAAAATGTACCCCGTAGAGTGTACCACATAGACTGCACCAGATAAATTGTTCCACGACGATTGCATCACGTGGATTGCACCACGTAGCTTGCACCATATAAAGCGCGCCACGTGTATTGCATAGCACATACCGCTCAACACAAACTGCACAATATTGGTTGCACCACGGATATCGCACAACATAGACTGCTCATTTTACTGTGTTCCACATCGACATCACCACGTAGACTGCTAGAAGCACATTTCAAGGGATCCGAGTTGGCAGAACTTTTCTATTGCAGAACAGCAGATGAAAGAGTCCATTGGATTCGTCCCGCGAGCCTGCGAGGCGAACCACACGGTCGACCACGGCGGAGCTGCGCCCCACAACGTGGACCAGCACCAAGGAGTCGAGCAGGTTTTCGGTGACCGCCACCACGGGGCTCTCTGGGGCCTTCTCGGGGGTCTCCTGGTCGTCTTAGGCGCCTGGTGTGTGCAGGCGCTGGGCGTGATCTCCCCGCGGGGCAAGTCGAACTGCGCGGGCGAAGCGCCTCCGTCCACCGCAGGGACGGCAGCGGCTGTCTCCGGCGCGCCGCTTGCTGCATTGGCTGCCGCGGCTCCCGCGGCCCCTGAGGCGGCAGAGGCTGCTCCAGACCATCCCCAGGCGTTGGACTCGACGCGGCCGGCGGGGAGTTCCCCGGGCAGTCGTTCTGCATCGGCTGTGGTCGTGGGGGCAGGACGCGGCTTGGCCAGCTCGTGCCCGGCAGCCGCTGCCGCGCCAGCTCCCGCCCCGCCGCCGCGGGCCGAGGAAGAGGCGCCTGCGCACACCGAGGAGGAGGCCGAGATGCAGCGGGCCACCCGCCGCATCATGCAGCTCATACAGCAGTTCAACAGCGTAACGGCGGAGGACTTCGAGGATCTGAAGAGGGAGCTGGTGATGCTTCTGAAGAGGGACCTCCCCAGAACCGGTCAGATGTTCTCCATGCTGAAGGGCGAGGCGACTCGAATCATTGCGATGCACAGCTTGTGTTACACCGTCGTCAGAACGACCGTCTTGACGACGAGCCTGTCCATCGAGCAGGGCAAGCCGATCAGGCGCATGGAGGTGGGCGAGGCCATGGAGGTCACGCAGGCATGGCCGATGGTTTATCCGATTCGATCGATCCCGCTCGACCTCGATTTCGCTCGCTTCGGTCTGGGTCGACTGGCCCTGAACAGCTTGTTTCTGGACGCCCGAAATGTGTACGGAAAGAATGGGCACAGTGCCCAACAACAATTCTTGTTCATTTTGAACAGGATTCGCTGTCCACGCCGCCGCGGCCTGTGTCCACTCGAGACAGAAGGCCGCCTGCCCAACAGCGGCCGCTGTTGGTTTGGGACAACATGTGTTGTTGGGCAATGTACCCATTTTTTCCGTACCCATGTCGGGCGTCCAGCTTGTTTGCAGGGGGTCCAATCGGTGTTCTGTCCATGGCCGCTGGGTGCGCTGCCTTTGGTCCCGGGTCCGTGGCCCGTGGTCTCCGTTCGTGGCCCGCGGTCTGCTGTCTTGAACTCACGTCGGGCCTGTGCCTCTACAGGAGGAGTAGTCACAAGTACTCCAGCAATAGTCAGGGGACGATTCCTCTAATATTTTCCGATTGCCCTCCAGCATGTCTTGCATATGTTTCATCTTTCGTCCAGAATTCGCCTGTATGAGGACATGCCCGACCGAATCTTGAACCTAACAGCCCCAACCTGTCGGGTAGGGCACAAATATGATGCGCTCCGTCGTGTTATGCTTTGGTGTCCTCTGCGCTTTTATGTGATGCCTTTTTTTGTCATAGTCTGGTCTGTCATGCTATGTTCTCTTATGTGTCGGTCACGATCTGTTCTGTCGTGCTTTGGTCAGTTCTGTCCTGCCATGTTTTTCGAAGGCGTGGCGGGCGGGATACTTGGCGGGGCGCCCAGCGGACCTGTGGATGTGGCGGCCGCGGTATGCAGGGAGGGCGGGCCCGGAGGTCCGCTTTGAAAGTCTAGCAACCCCAACCTGTCGGGTGGGGGACAAGTTTGATGTGCTACGTCCTGTTTGATTCGTGTATGCTACGCGATGGTATGTTTTGTTGTATTGTGTCACGATATGTCATGTCATGGTGTGTTCTGTCATGTGTCGGACATGCACCCGGTGGACCTGGGGATCTGGCATCTGCGCTATGCATGCAGGGTATGCGACGACGACGACGACGAAGCGACGACGAAACTATAACTGCGATTACGACGAGGACGAAGCGACGACGAAGCGGCGACGACGACGACGACGACGACCACGACAAGGTGACGACAAAGTGACGACGACGACGACGACGAAGCGACGACGAAACGACGACGACGACGACGACGACGACGGACGGACGACGGACGGACGGACGACGGCGACGGCGACGACGACGACGACGACGACGACGACGATGAATCGATCGGGAGGTCCGCTTTCAAATCTAACAGTCCCATCCTGTCGGGCGGGGAACCACCATTGCCTCAGCACGCCAGGCACCTCCGTGATACACCACCAGGGGGTGGCGGATCTAATGGCATTCGGCCGATCCCACCACCGCGCCATGGTTGTAAGTCAAAGGCCTCCTGGATGCCTGTCGGGGTCTTTTCGGGTGCGTTTCGGGAGCCTTTTGGAGGCGGCATGGGAAATGGCTTGGGGCCTCTCGGGGCCGTTGGCGGCTCATGGGGCATGATTCGGGTTCCTTGGAGGCCCCGAGAGGTTTCTGGGGGGCCCCATGGGGTTTGATGGCGGTTTCGGCTGTCACCTCGGGGCGGAGAGCGCCAAATGGGCGTGCGTGGCACGAGAACGACGTGCTGAGGGTTTCGGGTGCCGGGGGCCTGTAGCACTTCACTTTTCCACGTCCTGAATCATATGTGTTCAAGCCTGCTGCGAAGGGCGCGCTGAGTGTTCCAGGGTTCCTTCCCGTCCGTGCTAGCAGCAGCCATCAATGGAGTCGGCGCTCATGGGAGGATTCGGGAGGTTGTGGCTTGTCGTTGCTTTCCCCGCCCACCCGCTTCCTCGCGTTCCGCTGGTTGGGTGCCCTGGAGGCTTCCCAGGGCGGCCCCAGCCAGCTGCACGTATGTGTGTTGCCCATTGCACGTGTGGGAACGCGTGAATGAAAACTGCGACGAATAATTTGATCTCGCTTCTTTGAAATTGCGTGCGTCCTTCTCTAGAATGCTGGCCGCTGCCCTTATGCCCCCATGCGACCCCGTCATTTTTTATATACACATATATATACACACACACTGAAAAACTGCCCTGGGCCAGCTGCGGGGCAGAAGCGGAGCAGACGCAATGTTGGTCTCTTCGTGCAGCGCAATGCTTGTATGTGTATGACGCCCGTGCCTGCCCTCTTGACTCCTTCTGTTTCGCAGTTCAGACGGCCCTAAGACTGCCGCGGCAAGTTGCACAAGAAACCGTTGGCCGCTAGGAAAAGATAAACGTCGCGCCACGGGCGTGCGCAGCGAGAAAGTGACGCGCTGAGGCTTTCGGGCGCAACGGTGTTGCAACAAATCCCCCAGCCATGTCCGCAAACATATGGTTCCAAACCTCGCGGCTTTCTCTTGTCGCCCACCGACGTGCCGAACTGGACACAAGGGGTTGGCGCAGATTTGTTGTCTTCGTGCGGAACAGAGCTTGTATTTGCATGGCGTCCGCGCCTGCCTTCTTGGCCCCAATCTGCATCGCAGTTTAGATAGCGCAAAACTGCCAGAGTAAGCTACACAGACAGACGCAGAAACGGTTCGCCGCTAGAACAAGCATTCGTCGCACCATGCCGCTTTGAGCTCCGCCTCTGGGAGCCTTCTTGGGGCCCTCCTCTTGGGCCGTCTTGGGGGCCCCTTGGGAAGTCCTTGGCCCCTCTCGGGCCGTCTGGGCGCTCTCCTGGGGCCTTGTGTTGTCTTTGTGCGATCGCGCATGCTCTTGGGCCGTCGTGGAGCGTCGGAAGTACGAGATGGCGAGAACGCCAAAATCCTCCAGCACAAGCCCACCCCGCAGTGCATCTTACGAGGGATAGCGCCCAGGCTGGATGGGGCGGGCCACCGCGCGGTGTACTGTTGTGCCCGGGCTGGACGTGGGATGCAAGAACCAACAACGCAGGTGTCGATGCGGACCCGGGCCCGCAGGTCGAACGGAGAGAATCATTACTATGGAGGGTTCAGCAGATGATGCTGCAGATCGTGTTCTTTTTCTTGGCATCGCTCGGACGTGTGCCTTTTTTCTCGGCGGGAACCATCGAGGACCATCCTGGACCATCGAGCAAAAAAGCCACGCACGAAATCGAAAAATGCACGGGAAATGGACATCCGAGCGACGGCAAGTTTTTACCATTATTGGAGGGGTTCGCCCTCTGCCTCCGGCCCACCCTCAGATTGCTTGCGTGGTTGCGCTGGATCTGTCGGTGCGTTGATGTTCTTGTCAGCCGGCTGGGTGGCGGGTCATTCGGCCGATTGGCTTCTTGTCGAAAGTGGTGAACAACGTGTGCTTTTGATTGTTTGCTGGCTGGCTCGTTGCGCGCGTCTGTAACAAGAAGGTTTGGATGCGGTCTCGTGAACACGCTTCCATAGCAACACACGAGGTCTCGCGGCTTCGGGAGCGCGCATCTCCATCTCGAAGATTCGCGCCCGAGGGTACATAACAAAAGTGTCAGGAAGCGTCAGGGCGGCCGAATAGCGCCCGCCACGTCATATATATCTATAAATATGCATACATGCATACATGCATACAAACATACATTTGTATGTATGTATGTATATATATATATATATATATGTAGCATCGGGGGATGGAGGCAACGGGAGCGCGAAACCGTCGCAAGTAAGTCGGGATTGTGGCTTCGGGAACGCGAACGCGCTGCAACTTAAGAAAGAGATCGTTGTCCCGGGAGCGCGAAACTGCACCAGTAAGTGGCAAGGGGCTGTGATTTCTGAAGCGCGAACCTGCGGAGGTGGCCTCGGGGACGTAACTTGGCTGCAAGCTGCGAGGGGGTGAGGCTTCGGGGTGGTCTTAATGACAAGGGGGTGCGGGCTGGGGGGCCCGGGCCGAGATATTTGCACAGGGTTGGGGGGACGGGGAGCGGGGGCTTGGCGTAATTTGCACGGAACTGTAGTCTCGGAAGCGCCAGCGTGCAATATTCTGCCAGGGTGTGTGGCTTCGGGGACGCACACACACCTGTCGCAGCTTACGACAAGGTTGAGCCCCGGGATCGCCAATGCGGCGTAATGCACCAGGGACTGATTTCCAGGGAGCGCGAGTCTGGCGAAATTTGCGAAGGATAGGTTGCAGCCGCGGCACCAGCGCGAAGTCATGTACAATGGGTCGCGGCCGCAGGAGCGCCAGCGCGCAGCAGTTTACAGCGACTGTGGCTTCGGGGGCGCGAGCGCGCTTCCCTTTGAAACGGAGCGTGGCCCCTGCAGCGCGAAGTCTGCGTCATTGGCAAGGAGTGGGCTGGGGAGCGCCAGCTTGGCAAAATGTACGAGGGATTCTGGGTTCGAGAGCGCCATCGAGCAGTGATTGTACAAGCGGTCGTGGTTTCGGGAGCGCCAGCGTGGAGCAGTTTACAATGATTGCGGGTGGGGGAGCTCGAATCCGCTGTAAATTCCAGAAAGGATCGACCTCGGATGCGCGAACGTTGCGTACTGCACAAAGGGATCATAGCTTTGGGGCGCAGGTCTGGCGTCACTGATGAGGGAGGACTGTGGCCTCGGGAGCGCGGATCCAGCGCGATTCGAATTGGGTGGTGGCTTTTCGAGAGTACGACCTCGGCGTACCTTGTCAGGGACTGTGCGCCGGGGAGCGCGAGCGCGAAGCAACAATTTGCGAGGGAACGTGGCGGCGGGGACGCAATGGTTCTGTAGTTTGCAGAGCGTGGTGCCCTCGGGAGCGCGAGCCTGGCTTGGGGAGCGCGGAGCCGGCGCAGCGTGCAGAGGATTGGTGGCTTCGGGGGAGCGCGGGCCAGGCGCAGAGGCGCAGGAGTCCGGAGGTCTGCTGCTTGGAGAGCGCGAGCCTGGCGCCAAGTCGCAGGGTCGGTGTGGCCGCCGGGGGCGCGAGTCTGGCGTAACGAGCCAGGGAGTGCGGCTTCGGGGGCGCGCACCTGGCATAATCGAGAGAGGGCGCGGCCTCGGGACCGCGGACCTGGTGCCAGGTACGGAAGACTGTGGCCCCGGGAGCGCGAAGAGGTGGCATGTCATGTGTCCTGAGGATGTGGTCATGGTGTTGTTAGCGGGTCCTTTCCGGACCACCACCTCGCCTGGACTTCAACCAGTGCAACAGTGGAAGCATAACAACAAAAACAATCTATATAGATATAAAACAATATATATATATATATATATATATATATATATATATATATATATATATATCGGAGGTGAGGGGGTGAGATCGAAGTGGAACGGAGAGCCCCCCTACCGGGAAATCGATTTCGGTTTCGTGTTCGTGCGTGCCGTGCGTGCGGGCGAGGCGAAGCTGCGTGGGCGGGCGAGAGGAAAGTCTCCTGTGGCTGAGGCGCGGCCGGACCAAATGATTCTCCCTTCCGGGCGGCCGGTGGCCCGCGGTGTCCCGCCGGTGTCCCGCGAAAGTCCCGTGTGGCTGAGGCGCGGCCGGACCAAATGTCTCCCTTCCGGGCGGCCGGTGGCCCGCGGTGTCCCGCCGGTGTCCCGCGGTGTCCCGCGGTGTCCCGCGGTGCCCCGCGGTGTCCCGCCGGTGTCCCGTGGTGTCCCGCGATGATGATGATGATGATGATGATGATGATGATGACGATGATGATGATGATGATGATGATGATGATGGTGATGATGATGATGCTGATGATGATGATGATGAGATGATGAGATGATGATGATGCTGATGATGATGATGATGATGATGATCGTGATGCTGATGATGATGATGCTGCTGATGATGATGACGATGATGATGATGGTGATGCTGATGATGATGGTGATGAAGAGGACGATGATGATGATGACATGATGATGATGGTGTCCCGATGATGATGATGATGATGATGATGATGATGATGATGATGATGATGATGATGTCGATGATGATGACGATGATGATGATGATGCTGATGGTGTCCCGATGATGAGGATGATGATGATCATGATGATTATGTTGATGACCATGATGATGACGATGATGGTGTCCCGATGATGATGAGTATGATGATGTTGATGTTGATGATGCTGAATATGATTGTGTCCCAATGATGATGCTGATGATGATGAGGTTGATGATGATTATGGCGTCCCGATGATGATGATTATTATGATGGTGATGATGATGATGTTGATGATGATGATGGCGTCCAGATGGTGATGATGATGATGTTGATGCTGATGTTGGTAATAATGATGATGGTGCCCCGATGATGACGATGATGATGATGCTGATGATGATGATGTTGATGATGTTGTTGATGATGATGTCGATGATGAGGATGAGATGATGATGATGGTGCCCCGATGATCATGGTGATGATAACGATGGTGATCATGATGGTGTCCCGATGATGATGCTGCTGATGATGATGACGATGACTGTGTCCCGATGGTGATGATGATGATGATGATGCTGATGTTGATGATGATGATTGTGGTGATGGTGATGATGATGATGGTGGTGTCCCGATGATGTTGATGACCGTGATGATGATGATGTTGGTGTTGATGATTAGGACTGTGTCCCGATTATGATAATGTTGGTGATGATGATGTTGATGTTGATGTTGTTGTTGATGATGATGATGACGTTGATTGTGGGAGCGGTTGTGATTTCGATAGTGAGATCGATCGTGAGACCGAATGTGATATCGATTGTGAGAGCGATTGTGAGATCGATAGTCAGATCACTTGTGAGATAGATCGAGTGAGATCGATTGTGAGATCGATCGAGGGAGACCGATCGAGCGAGACTGATACTGAGATCGATAGTGAGATCGATAGTGAGACCGATCGAGTGAGACGTTGGTTCCTCCCCCCCCGAACCTCCTTATCACCCGAAGGGTGGTCGTACAGGTATATATATATATATAGTTATCGCTTGAGACCTGGAATTGACGCAAGGAGCTGGACAGCCTACGCCGTGCATTCTGCAGGGGGCCGACAGGGCCCGCGGATGAAAGCTGCTTAGTTTTTTCTGCCTCCAACAGACACGGAAAGCCCGCTTGTCCGATGCGGCTCAATGCTTGCAATGTGTCCCGGCGAGGCTGATTCGGTTCGATCTGGATTCCATGCCGATGCAGCCTGACCCGATAAATGTTTTGACCCGATCCGGCTTATTGGCCCATTTCTGATTGATCTTGCCCAGGGGCCCACGATGGATCCGTCCATCGGCGCCTCTCGGATTTTGGGGCGCGCCCTCAAGGATCCAGAGGGCTGGAGGCCACACATCACACACAGAATCTCCTCAGGAGCGACAGAAAGGACGTACACGCACATGAATCCGCGCTGGTTTCGAGAGTACGCGTTGCGCAAATGCTCGTACAGCGCGGCCAGTCCCGCGGATCGAGGGGCCGTGTTCCTGTACATGTTTGGGCGCGTGCGTCCTTTGTGGGCTCCCTGTCTTCGGACGTCCGCGGACGCCCGAAGTTTATGCCCCATGCGATGCTCTGGTTCTCTGAGGACGGTGCCACCGGCTGGGCGACCGTCGCCGGCAGCAACGGCACCGCGTTCCTGAAGAGCGGCGTGCACGGCGGCGCAAAGAGAGCCCTCGGCGGCGCGTGAGCCGGGCGGGGGGCACTTTCCGGGCCAGGGATGCCTAAGCTTCTGGCAGCCCGAAAAATTCGGGAGGGGAAAAGCACACAGACACAATGAATCGTCGATCCCCAAGAAAACATGGGAAAATGTTGGCACTGGGCGGGAAGACAAAAACCCAGGAAATATGGGAAAATATGAGGAATCATTTTATTTGTGTGTATTTATTTGTGTGTCCTTGGGCCCCTTGAAAGATGCAGATTCGAGGATTTAAGGTTTTGGGACGGCAGCGTTTTGGCCTCCGAAGATCGAGGCCTCCAGAGTCCGCGCCAGGGACCCATACCGCTGGCGAATTGACGGATTGGTTGGTCCGATTGAGGGGAGGATTGATTGGTTGGTTGATTGACCGACGCATTGATCAATTGGTTGGTTGATTGATTGATTGGTTGCGCCCGTTAGCAGGTAGTTGTTCTGTTCGACGGCCGAGGGCGCAACATACGTTACAACCAATATCAGCCTGTTCGAAGTTTCGACATCGAAGGGCGCAACCGATGGCGCAGTTCATGGATGGCGTAACCTACTTTACAACCAGTGTCGCAACACATGGCGCAACCGTCGGCGCAACCCATTGATGGCCTAACCCATGGATGGCGGAACCCGTTGGGCAACCTTCTCCGCATTTTGTGGCCCACAGCGGCTTGTCCTCACAGCTTCTACGGGGTTGCGTCCGACTTTCTCGCCACTTGGGCTGGCAGTGGGGCCCAAGCGGCGAGATGTTTTGTGCTGTTTCAGTGCGCGGCCCCCCGGGGCTCTCGACTCGTTCCCCAGCGCCTTTTTCGTTTTTCAGCCGCTCTCACTGCGACCCCCCCAGGGAGGGAGGGAGGAAGAGGAAGAGGAGGAGGAGGATTAGGAGAAGGAGGAGGAGGAGGAGGAAGGAGGGAGGAGGGAGGAGAGAGGAGATGGAGGAGGAATTGGAGGAGGAGGAGGATGAGCCCCAGGGGCCCAGAAACGGCGCCAGCATCTCGAAGACGACGGGCAGCTGAGCCTCTGCACGTGAACCAGGATGGCTCTGCCCCAGGTCCACCCGTGCGAAGGCTATAGACGGCGCCCTGGCCGGCCAGGATGCCGTGGCACGGCTGGAGCGTCTCCATGTTGCACCTGAGGGTGCGACAACGTTTTTTCCTCGGCGAGGACCCTCGACGTGTGCGTTTTTTCCTCGGCGAGGACGTGTGCGTTTTTTCCTCGGCGAGGACCCTCGACGCGGCGTTCTGGCACCGCTCGGACGTGTGCGTTTTTTCCTCGGCGAGGACCATCGAGGAGCACCCTTGATCATTTGGCGAACAAAAAGCCACGCATGGAACCGACAAAAAGCACCGGGAATGGAGGTCCGAGCGATGGCGAGACGAGAAAGATGACGGATGCGATGATGGTGTTCCGCCCAATCAGCTCGAGAGACACCCGCTGGAGGATCCCAGCGTGCGCGGAGCCACCCGTTGAGTAGTAAGGCTGCCCGCTCACCAATGCGTAGCAAACTGTGCGGGTGTATCCCTGACCTGGCCCGCTGCTCTGTCGTTGTCCTGCACTCCCACAGGATGTGTCGAGCGGTGGCCGGGACGCCACACTGCTCGCAACGGTATGGAACATCAGCACGAATGCGATGAAGGCGATCCAGGCTGGGTTCAGCCCCGCCTGCACATCGCCCAGCCCACGTGCGTCGAGCCGCGGGCTGCTTGTTTGTGAACTCGCGGAGCGTCCTGACGTCCAGGCTCGGCAAGTCCACCCGCTCCTTGCGGTTCGTGGTGGTGCTGGCGTCTCTCACCATGAGCCCGCGCCGCGCCTCGCGGACGCAATGCTCGAGCTTGCCCTTGGAGAGGGAGATTGTGAAGGACGTGCTCGAGCTTGCCCTTGGAGAGGGAGATTGTGAAGGACGTGCTCGAGCTTGCCCTCGGAGAGGGAGATTGCGAAGGACGTCCCCGCAAAGGTTGGCTCGTGCGGGCCGCTGCCGCACTGCCGGCCCATGCTGTCGAACACGCCGCGCGTCCGCGCTGCCAGATTCGCGAGGAGCGGTGGCCCTCCCGCTGCAGACCTCCAGGCCTGGCGGACGAGCGGCTGGAGGTGGCCGTTCCTGGCGCAGCGCAGGAAGCTGAGGAAGCTGGAGAACATTACGCCCAGGGGCTCGATCTTCCATCCCCTGGTCTCGGAGGCACCAGGCGGCACCCCGTGTCTCCATGTCCTGTGGCGCCGAGGGCCAAAAATGGCCTGCTCCAGGCGGGTGCGCATGGGGCTGATGTCTGCGGTCTTCGTAGCGCACCACGGCGCATCCCAGCGGAAGAGGCCCAGGGAGCAGAGAACGACCCTGAAGACGCTGTCAATGGCCAGCTGAGCTCCGCCACAGACGCGACGGATCCGGCCCGAGCGGCAGAAGATCACCACCCACCAAGCCACCCCAACCCAACCCGAAGGCTCAGGTTCACCCTCGATTTCCAGTGGGGGGGGGTCGGGAAACATCGAAAAAACACACGTGGAACCCTTACCCCCCCCAACCCGAAATTCTGGTCTTCGGGTTGGGTTGCGGTGGTCTGGTAGGTAGTCAGAAGAGCTCCTCCCTGCGCCGGGCGGCCTTGGGGGCCGCCGCAGGCGGAGCGGCGCCGGTGAGGCCGAAGCGAACCCCGAGGAGGCCCACGTGCCCCTGGAGAGGCGTGCCGGCCCTCTCGCGGTCCTGCAGGATGACCGGGGGGAGGTTGACCGGGGGGGGTTGAAGCCGGCCCCTTCCTCCCTGCTGGGGTCCTCCTCCTGGCCACTCGCGACGTCCAGCTCCTTGGAGGGGCCCCTCGACAGCGGTCACGGTGTCGGTGTCGCTGGAGGTGACGGTGCAGTCGTCCACGTACGTTCTGAACGAGAATGGCTCTGGACCGCGCATTACTGCCAGCCGTCGCGCGTGGGCCCCGGCGAAGAGAGGGCAGCGACGAGGGGCGATGCGGGGTGCCCTGGCGGCATGCCACGTGCAGGGCAGCTGGGGTCCGAGGCGCACCCTCCCACCTTCACGACCACGGACGTGCCGACGGCCGACAAGACAAAGAATCGGCTGTCCACCTCGTGCATGCCGAACTCCATGGCAAGGCGGTGGGCGAGTTCTGGCTGCAGCCTGGTGGAGCAATTTGACAGGTCCGGTCGCCGAGCGATGAAGGGCTCGCCAGACTCCCGGGCGGCCCCGATCTCGATGTCCATGGTGAGGAGGTTGTGGATGGCATTCGTGGGCTGCACCTCGTCGGCCCAGTTCTTGTACCGTCCAAGGATCTCCTTCTGGAAGGCGCGAAACACCGCCGCGCCGACAGTGATCGGCAGCAGGTCCTCCGCGAGCGCGCCGTCGCGGATTTTCGGTATCATGGTGGTCACTGCCGTCAGGAGCGCCTTGGGCCACCTGCCGCTGGACCAGATGACGTCGCCCAGGGCACCGAGAGAGTTGATCGCCTCCTGGGGGGCCTTGGCGAGGATACCTGCGTCGAGGTCGCAAGAGCCAGCGGCCGTGTAGGCGATCGCCCGCAGGGCGGCGCAGAGCGCGCCGGTGTTGTCCTCGAAGCACCAGTCCTCGGCAGGAGCAGGTATGGTTCCGATGGAGCCGCGCACCATCTCGAAATACATGTTCTGGTGATAGTCGTCTAGCTTGGCGCGCTGCTTCGCATTGAACTGCTTGACGGCCTCAGCGACCAGCCGGGAAGGATCCGCGGCCGGTTTCGAAGTCGCCGAGATCGCCCTCGATCCTGGCACATCCGCCGCTACCGCAGGGGCCCCGGCGCGCGGGCGCGCCATTGCTGGATGCGGGCGTCAGCGCTCTCCTGGCCCATCCTGTCCAAAAGAGCCTGCAGGCGGTCCCCGAGCGTCGGGTAGTCGAGGAGGTCGGTGTCCTGATCCAGAACCCCGCCGGCGATGCGGGGCCCTGAAGGCTCCGTTCAATGCTGCGGACAAGGTCTGGGTGGTCCTGCCCGGCTTTGTCCTTGAATGGCTGCTCGGTGATGCGTCGCAGCAGTCGGTGCAGCCGCCGCTCCGCGACGCCCATCCGGTGCCCTTGAGCTCCCCGGAAGGTCCTCTGCCACTTCTTCACCGCGGTTCCATGCTTCCGTGTACGCTGGCCTTCGGGAACCCCGCAGGAGGCCTCCAGGCAGTCGCGCCATGTCGCCCATAGTAGGTCGACGTCTCCTTCTCGAAGTGCTCGCTCCCAAACCGCTGCATGAGACGAGGCTGCGGATCGCCGCTCCTCCCAAACGTCCGGGATCACCAAAGGGTGGCACTTCCTGATCGTCTCAACGACCGCCTGGGGCTCGAGGTGCACCTGCACCACCACAGCGATACGGTCGCTGATCTAGGTGTCGGGGGAAGCGGATTCGACGGCGAGGTACCTGATCATGGCGTGGTCGATCATCTTGTCCCCGCGGGTGTTGAAAGAAGTAGGAGGCCGAGCCTTCTCGCGTGCATACTCCAAAATGCCGAGCAGACGCGGCCACTTGGACCGCGATGGCGTCCGCGAGCTTCCTGCGAGCGTGCGTGTCCTTGACGTCCACGTACACGCCGATGATGATCATGTCGGAGCCGCTGGCGCGCAGGATGCCAGAAACCATCCTGCCGTCGAAGTCAGATGACCACTTCCACGGATCCTTGCGTAACTCATTCGGCCCAAACAATGCCACGCCGCCCTGGCAACCGCCAGGGGGCGCCGGCACCGCGAGATGTGCTGGAAAAACTGATGCGACCAACTTCCCGAAGCTGCTGGCGCGAGATTCGTCAATGTTCGTGTCGACGACGCAGCCGACGCGGGCGCGGGTGGCGTCGAGCTGCCCCCTGATCCTGTCCCATTTCCCCTTGCCATTTTTATCGTGGAGCCCGTTCGTCTTGCAGAACCAGGCTCGCAGGCCGTCCGGCGTAGGCGCAGGCTGTGGCTTCTGTTTGCGCCGCCGTTGCCCTGGGTTCGCGGCCTCTCCGATGCGTTGGCCCCGCAACGGGAGAGGCCGCATTTCCGTTCAAGAAGGCGCAGAAGCCCGGCCGACCGACCGGGCCTTCTGGGGGATGCCAGGGGCGCGCGGGGCGACACGTCCCCTGCCCACGCGTTTCTGGCGCTGGAAAGACGGGCTGTCCCGCAAGTTGGGGTGCGCGGTCCTCTTGTCGATCAGCTTGGCTGCGACGAAGACGTCGTGGGTGGCTGCCCTGTAATCGAGGGCGGCCATGCGCCTGTCGATGGGTGCTGCGCGGCACGGGGAGAAGAACACGGCCGCGGTGTTCACGCAGGAGATGGAATTCCTGCAAGCGTGCACCAGCCAGAAATTCTTTCCGCCACCCCTGCTCTTGGTCGCAGTGTCCTTATCGAGGTCATGGGCGATGTCCCGGAGGTGTACCGGGAGGGCAGTGCGCCGTTGCAGGTAGAAATTCCAAGCCTTCGCCTCCCGCGCCTTCGCCCCAGCGGGCCGGGCCTGGTCGAGGCGTCGCCTGATCTGTCTCGAATTCTCTGGGATCCATGTAGATCCTGGCTGGCACTTGGCCCAATGCCTCTCGGCGGCCCCGAGGTGCAGCTTGGACTTCCCGGGGGGGCCAGCGACCCGCCATCCGCAGGGACAGGCGAACGCGTCGCCTGGTAAGTAGTATTTCTCACAGTTGTCCTTGACGGCCAAATCGAAGTGGCGGCGCTGGACTTCCACCTCTTGCCCCGCGGCGACGGGATGCGCGGACCGCCACTCGAGGTGCGAGGAGACAGCGCCGTTGAAGAAAGCGGCGTCGGCGTCGGTCACCTGCCGCTCGGCGCGCGCGAAGTGGTGGCGGAACGACAGCAAATAGGTCTCGACGTCGATCGTCAGGCCTTGCTTGCGAGGGCGGCGGAGGAGCACCAGCCGCTGCGCGACCGCTTGTGGCAGACGCGCCCCGAGGGCGCTTCGACGAAGCACATGGCGCCCTCTGAGATGATATCGCGGGCCGTTCCGGGGCCAGCCTCGCCCTGCGGGGAGCAGGCTTCGCAAGAAAAGGAGAGGGCGGCGCCGCGATGGAGTCGCCCCCGAAACTGAAGGTGGCACCGCCGTTGAGGTCGCCACCGGACGTGTGGAATATGCCCGCGAAGCCCCCCCGCGACGTAGACGCAGGGGAGGAAGCGCCAGCGCGCGCCCTCTGGGAAGCAGACGAGCGCGGCGCGCGAGCAGAGGAGGCCCGCGGTGTGGCAGAGGACCTCCCAGAAGCAGCGTCAGTGGACGCTCGCTGCGAGGCAGAAGAGCCCGGCATGCGAGTCGACGAGGCCCGAGGGGTAGCAGAGGCCCTCCGCGACGGTGTAGCCATAGACGCCCTCGCTGGAGTTGATGTTCGCGTCGCTGCTGGGGTAGCGGCGGCGGCGGCAGCCCTCTGGGGAGGCTCCGGCCGCAGGTGGCGCCGAGAGCCAAGAGAGCCCGCCAACGCCATCTGATTCAGAAAGCCAGCTCATCGCCTGTCCTCCCCCAGCGGGTCCGCGGGGGAACGAGCCGCCGATATCGCGGGACAGCTCCGGTGGCCAGGGCTTGTCGGGCCTGACAGTCTGGAAGTGCCCGTCTTTGAGCATGAGAGCCATCCAACCTCTAGATTTATAGTCTGCGCCGAACGAACGGCGCGCCCATTTCCCAGAGGAGTCCTTGAAAAGGACGGCGACGCACCGCTTCATGCGCGCGGCCACGCCTCTGAGCTGCAACTCGTCCATCCAGAACGTCGAGACCTTCATCTTAGCAAGGTGCTCGCGGAGGGTGGACCCCGCGCGGCCGGGGTTGTCCGGGTCTGCCGCCCAGAACTCCGCCCAGTCATCGCCCGCGTCCATGAACTGAGCCGTCTGGACCCTGAGCGTCAGCGCCCCCGTGCGCACAGCGTCGAGGTCCGAGAAGGTGCTGTCCTTGAGGAGTCTGCCGCCGAGCACGCAGGTGCAGCAATTACCCGCACGCGCCGGCTCCGCCAGCCTCCTGCACAATAGCACCCTTGAGGAGGTACTTGGGATCCGTGATACAGTCGGGGCCCTGAAGAAGGAACACTTTTCGTTGGCGAGGGGCTCCGCGTTCCTTAAGTGTTTCACAGCTTCCCTCAGGTTTCCCTTATGTTTTCGATAGGACATCGAAGTTTAACGTATGGAGAAAAAAGGGGCCTCGTTCCTTATTTAGGGTTCCTTAGGTCAGCGCCCCGACTGTATTCCACTGAATCCCGTTTCAAGATCCTGGCCGGTTTGGCGCCGGCGGGAGGATCGTCTCGGCGCCGCGTCGGGGCGCCAGGGTTTGCAGTCGGCGGCTCGCCGCCTGTCCCTTCTTCGTCTGCAGGTTTGCCGGCGGTCTTCTCGGCGTCCGCGTCCACCTCCATGGCTTCGGTGCCCTTGCCGCTGGCCTTGGTTGGCTGTGCATCGTCGTCGTCGTCCTGCGGCCGCCGCGGGAGGCCAGGTCGACGAGAGGTGGTGAAGACGTCCAGGGTCGAGGTTGCCATCTTGCGAGTGGCAGGCGCGACCTTGACCTTGTCTCTGCCGTAGAGGAGGTAGATGTAGCTGCACGTGTCATTGGGCCGCTCCGTGCACTTCACCCTCCGCGAGCCCGGCCCAAGCATGGCCTGCACGTCCGGGTCAACCCAAGTGTTCGCTGTGAGGAAGTCCGAGACCTGGGTCGCGGCCCACCCGGCTGACGTCGAACACTATCCCGAGTCTTCTTCTCGAAGCCCAGGTCGTGATTGCCCCCCATCCTGTGAACGAGGGGTCCGCCCTCATCCTGGGCGCGGCGGTCCAGGACTCGTTTGAGGTATTGCTTGTCCGTGTCCACGTCTTCGCGGGTAACCCATTGGATCGTAGTGCGTGGGCGTGTGTCACGGTCACGGGCGAGGCGCTGGAAAAATACCCCGCTCCGTCCAGAGAGGGCCAGTAGCTGAGCGACACCCTGCTCTGGACCACTGGCGATGAGGCTCATCGCGGCCTTGTCCTTCGTGCCCGGCTTGGCGGTGAAAACCGAGTTGCCGAGCTGGACCGACTTGAGGTCGGTTGGCCAGATGCTCTTGAGCGCTGCACTGGCCCTGATGTGAGAAAGTGAGTCGTTCAAATACTTGGCATAGACGCTCACGCGGATCGCTGTCAGGCCCTCGGGCTTCGAGGGGACGC